GAACTCCTGAGCTCAAACAATCCGCCCGCCTCGGCCTCCCAGAGTGCTAGGATTACAGGTGTGAGCCACCGCGCCTGGCCAGAAAGCATTACTCTTAATTAATCAAATACACTAAAATATTTTTGCCTTTTAGTGTGAGCTTGTGATGTTCTCTCTTGCCCCCAGGTCACAAAAATATTCTTATTTTGTTATATTAAATTTTATAGCTTTATTTTTTTACATTTAGGTCTTTAATATTATAGAGTTCGCTTTTTCATATGGTATTAGGTAGGGATCCAGTATTTTTCTCCATAAAGTGAGACGGTTTTCACAATGCTGTCTACTAAATAGCGTGTCCTTCCCCTTTGATTTGTGTGCTACTTTTCTTTTTTTTTTCCTTCTTTTTATTTTTTGTTTAGGGATGGGGTCTTGCTATGTTGCCCAGGCTGGCCTTAAACTCCTGGCCCCAGGCACTCCTCCCACCTCAGCTTCTGTGTGCTACTTTACTGTGTATTAAATTCCCAAATATTCATGAGTCTGTTTCTGAGCTCTTTACTATGTTGGTCAAATTCCTGTTTTTACACCAGTGCAACACTGATTTTATTTCTATGGTTTTATAATCTGTACTAATATCAGGTAGGATGGGCCTCAACCCCACCTCTACCTCCCACATTTACTCCTTTTTCAAGGATGACTTAGCTATTTACAACTTTTCTACTTTCACAAACATATTAGAATATGTTTATCGTATTCTCAAAATATCTGAATGAAATTGGAATTAGAATTGCACTAGTGTAATATTAGGTTGACCCATCCAAGAAAATAAGGGTTATCTCCATTTATTTAGATCATTTTCTCTGGACATATATTTCTAACAAGAAAATACATGGCAGTAATGATTTTAATTCAAGCTAAATAAAAACATTCATCATATATATCTAAATATTTACTTCTTAAACTGTAACTTACCAAAGCAGTTACTGCAGGGAAGTTTTTGGACATTTCTCTAAGCAGGGTACAAGTCCTAACATCCCATAACTCCAGGGGTTTATCTTTGAATACAACTGCTAAATACTGCCTAAAATAAACAAAATTACTAAATAAGCCTCTTTTTGCAAAAATTTCACCATGAATTAATACAAATAAAGAGTTCAGTAAACTGAAAAACTCAGATGACACAATGTAAACACAGTCATTTAGCCCTACGATCAATAGTCATAAGAAGGTAAAGCTCCAAGATGACCTTTGAGAGCACATAAAGACTCACACAATGAGGCAAGGAATCCGGCTCAGTAGAAGGAGTGGCATGGGTTCAAATCCTGGTGCCACAACTACGTCAACCCTCCTGGGGCTCATTTTCTCATATATGGCATGAGAATACCATCACCTACTTCAATGGGTTGGTACGTAGGTTACAGTGAAAATTAAAGGACAAAGTATGGAAAGTTTCTATCATCCTACCGTAATAGGTATTTAGCAAATGCCACCTTCTTCATTCATTTTCTGTCAGAAAGTACTGAATGATGTGAAGGAGTGCAATCCAACAAACACGAATTCAGCCTTGACTACTCAGTAACCACCGTGAGGAACTAAAACGTTATCGACAAATGATGGACACTGAGGAAATGTGACACAGTACACAGTGTATCAAAGGACTGAGATTCTTCCATTCAGGACCACATGTGCCACTTGATAATTATGTGGCTTCAGATAAGATATGTAACCTTTTTCAACTTTATTCTACTTCTATTTAAAATGGTGTTGATAATACTTGCCATGCCTACCTCACAAAATGCTGAAAGGATTTTTAAAAAAGGACAGAATACATGGAAAAATTTTATAAACCATGATGGATTATACAAACATATTACATTGTTTATTGTATTTAATATAAAAGCATATAAAGGCATGTGCATAAATAACTAATATAAGACAAAATGTGGTAAGAGATATAAAGATTCATTGTGAAAGAGGAGATTAATTTTGACAATAGGGAAATGGCATTCCAGGCAGAGTTATCAATATGACAAATGACAGGAAAGGACTGTGTGTTTGGGGGACATGCTACCTGAAATGCAGAGTATGTGAGAGCAATCATGAAAAGGAAGACTAAAATGTGTATTTTTGATATGATAAAAGACCTTAAATGCCATGAGCTATGTAGGAGTTTATTTTACAAAGAACAGTAAATCGCTGAGGGTTTTGAAGTAGGGGATGATGTGATCAGCTGTTTTAGATGTATTAATTTAGCAGGCATGTGTAAAGTCTGACTGGAAATAGAAGAGACTGGAGTCCCAACTGTCTGAGTAATTCTCAAACTTCTTAGTCTCAGGTTTCCTTTATACTCTTAAAAATTACTGAGGCCCTTCAAAGAACTTTTTATTATATGGGTTACAGCAATTGATATTTTGT